TCGGGGTGTTCCACAGAATACAGCTCCTTACAGAATATTTGGGGGGAAAACTCGATTGCGGGGCTATGGGGATATTTTTTTCTTTTTCTTTTTTTCCCTTTTTTTCCCTATTTTTATTTGTTTCTTCTTTTTTCTTTTCGTCTTTTTTCTTTTTCTTTTCTTTTTTTCTTTTCCCCTTATTTTTCTTTTTTTTAATTTTCTTTTTCTTTAATTTCATTTTTTCTTCTTTTATTTTTATAATTTTCTCTTTCTCATCGTTTTATTTTTTTTTCCTTTTTTTCTCTTTTTTTTTTCCGAAGAGAGGTTTGTTTTCTTTCATTTTTTGTGTGTGTGATTTGCTTTATTTTATTTCCTTTCTTCTCCCCAATAAAACCAACTACTACCAAATTCACCTTTCCCACCCCCGACCGGCCTTTCCTCTGCTCCATCGGGAATATATAAATATTTCTATCACCACTGCGGGACCCCGAAAAACCACCGCAGCGAGCCAGCAAAAAAAAAATCCCTCCGAGTTCCTCTGGCTCTTCCCGCATCCCCCAGCCCCGCAATCCCGAGGTTTATCCGTCCCAGAAATACGGAACCGGCGGATTCGGCATCACCCTTTAATATTTACTCTCCTCAAGGTTACGCAGGGCAGAGGGAACAAACTTCAAACCTCTTTATTTCCTCCTCCCCTTTTCCATCCCCTTTCCCTACCTGGTTTTATGTGGTTTCTGGATTAGTCTAGTGCGGAGCCGAAGCGGACTTTCTCCGGCCGAAATATAGGATTAGGACTATTTCTGGAAGAAAGGGAATAGTGTGAACTGCCTTGAGCCTGCGATAGTCTAAAGCAGAATTACAGCTTGTAAAATAGGTCTCCATCAGTTTCCCAGGAGACGGGTTAAGCCCTACTTGGGTGTTCCAGCTCTTTTTAGAACCACTAATAATTAGTCTCATCTCACCCCCGAGTTGTCCGGTTGGTTTTTTCTTTAAGATCGTCAATAAATGCACTTTTTTTTGCCTCCGCTGCTGCCGGCGCGGGCAGGGCAGGCAGGGCCGGCTGCTTCCAGCACCGCGCTCATCCCGGGGGGAAAAGGAAGGTTTTTGGGGGGCGTCGGGAAACCAACGGGGCTTCCCCACCCTGTGCCATCCTTTTTGTGGTTTGATGTCTTTGGAGCCATCGCTGCGCGTCATTAGGGGCCCGAATAATTGAAACAAAAAACAGCAAGGAAAAGTAGTGTCTTTTCCCCCATTTTTTTTGGAGGGAAAAGTCAGGGGAAAATAAAATAAAAGGAAGGAAAAATACGGATAAACGGAGGGAAGGGAAGTGGCTGGATCGGGGCTGATTTGGGGGCTCAGACCCCGCAGCGTCCCTGCCCAGCTTTCCCAAATCCAAGCCGGTGCCAGCCGCTCCTCAAAAAAAAAAAAAAAATCCCTAAATCAGGATTTGAGGGGAATTAACGGGAAAACGGAGCCGGGGGGCTGGAGGGAATCCTGGGGGTGATCGGGGGAGGGAAAAGGGGGAAAACCATCCCGGGGGTCGCGGGTGGAAGGGCAGGAGCGCGGGGAGCGGGGTGCGGGGCCGGGCACCCGGGAAGGACGCGGCGGGATGGCCCCTTCCCACTCGTGTCCCCCTCCCCGCGCGGGCGCCAGGCGTGTAATGACGAGTAATTGGGCTGGCGCGGGGCCGCTTTCGATGAATTATTGAGAGCCCATTAAGCGCCGGGGCGATGTCACCCGGCACGGCAGTGCGGGGACACGGTCACACCCGAGCTGTGCCCTCCACTCGTGCCCTACACCCCCCGGTCCATCCCTGCGTGGGCGATGCCACTCGTGTCCGTGCCCGGTGCCAGTGAACCTCGGGAAGGGCCACCGGCCGCGCCGAAACTCCGGGTTTTCCCGGGAAACACGGCGCGGGGAATAATTCGATCCCCGATTTTTTTGCTCGGCCGTGACCTGCCCACGGGATCGGCACCGGCACCGGGACCGGCGCTTTCCCGGTGTCCCGGCCACGGGAGAAACCCCTTTCCGTGGGGCGGACACGGTGCGGCCGCTCCCAGCCCCGGAACAAAAGATCGTGACGGAGACGGGGAGGATAAATGGGGGGGGAAAGGGGGGAAACCAGCTAAAACCAAAAATAAACCGAAAATGTGGAAGTGAAGCCCTGGAGCCCGGCTGGGAGGAGCGGGAGGAGGCGGGAGCCGGCCCCGCACGGCCCCGTCCCTCTCCCACCCGAGCCACAACGGCTGCCCCCCCCCCGCAGCGAAGGGGTTTGGGGCTAAAACGGGCCGAATCGGGGCCCCGAGGCGGCCCGGCCCCGGTCGCGCCCCGTTCCCACCCGGGCTGCCCCCACAGCCCCAAAATCAGCCCCCTCTGCTCCCCTGCTGGAAGAGGGATCCCCCAAAACGCAGGGGCGAGGCGACGGGGAGCAGCCCTTCCTTCCCCCAGCCTTCCCTGCGTCCCTCCATCCTTCCCTGCATCCCTCCATCCATCCTCCATCCATCCCTCCATCCATCCTCCATCCATCCCTCCCTCCATCCCTCCATCCCATCCCTCCATCCGTGGCCCCGCGCCCCCCCCCGGCCTCCGGGCCGGTTCCCTCGCCCCCGCCGGCTCCGAGGCGAGCTGGGGAAGAGGAGGAGGAGGAGGAAGGGCTGGAAAAGGAGCAGAAGGTGGGAGCTGAAGGCGAAGGAGAAGGAGGAGAAGGAGCGGCGGGTGTCCCCTACCTGCGCCCCAGCCGCCGGCCCGGCTCTGCGGGAGCTGGGAGCATCCCGGCATTTATTGGAGCTGAAACTCTGCGACTGTTGACTTTAGCACAAAGCAAAGATTTCGCTGCCCGCTAGTTTAAAAATGAATATTTTACCAAGATATCGATCAGCTTTATAAAATTCAGTTAAGCACAATGGCTCAAAAGGAGGGGGGGGGGAAGGAAAGGGGACGCAATATAATATCTGTGTAAATTTGCTGAAGTATGACGTGGTGGGGAAAGTTTACCCTCCTGGAATTTGGATCTAGATTCCACCCCCCCCCTTCGCCTTTTTTTTTTTCCTCCCCCTTTTTTTTTTTTTTTTGTTTACTGACTTTGTTTATTCACAGATCACGGTTGCTTAACCAGGCAGGAGCAAAATGCACTTGCTGGAAGGTTGGGGGCGGGCAGGTTGTGTGGGGAGGGGGGGAAAAATGCCAAGGGGGGGGGGGAGAAGAAAAAGAAATAACGTCTAGCGGGTGGATTTTTTTGTTTCTTTCTCTTTTTTTTTTTTTTTGGCCATTTCTCCCTCAAATCGTCCTCCTTGTGTTTTGGCGTGAAATGGGGCAGAGAAAGGGGGAAGGAAAAATGATAAAGAAAGGAGGGAGAAAATGAAAGGAGGGGGAAATAAAAGGAGGGAGAAAAGGTAAAGGAGGGGAAATAAAAGAAGGGGAGAAAAATAAAAGGGAGGTAGGAAAAACAAGGGGAGATAAAGGAAGGGGAGAAAAATAAACGGAGGAGGAAAATAGGAGGAGAGGGGAAAAAAGGGGTAGAAAGTAGAACTCGGGTGAAAGACAAAAGGAGGGGAGAAATAAAAGCGGGAGAAAAGTCAAAGGAGGGGAATAAAAAGAGGGAGAAATTAACGGGGAGAAAAATATAAGGGGGTGGAAATGAAAGGGGGAGAAAAATGAAAGGGGGAGAAAAATGAAAGGGGG